ACGCTGAAGATGCTGCAGATCCAGCCCGAAAAGGATATCATCGTGGAGTTCATAAAAAACGAGGACTTCAAGTGAGTTGGGAGAGCTGGGTTTTCCCTCTTTTGTACAGCAGGGAAACCTCCGGGTGGGGTGGGCCCTGGCTAGAGTCTGATCGCTAAAAGCATCTCCTTTCGCTTGACAATCGAAATGGCCATATATTGTTTATTTTAGTGTACTGCTTTTCCTCAGAAGCTTATGGAAAAAATGCCTTTTTATCTAACTATGCAAAAAGCTCAGATACACGAAAGAGTTTTCGTTCCAGGTATGTCCGAATGCTTGGTGCGTTGTACATGAGGCTGACAGGCACCGCCATTGACTGCTACAAGTATTTGGAACCGCTGTACAATGACTATCGCAAAATAAAAAGTCAGAACAGAAATGGGGGTAAGCACTCTTGCTTAGTTGTGGTTTCTCACTACCTCAGACATTACTTTTTGTTAAAAAAATGTATCATGCCAGATAAAAGTAAGTATTCTATTTAGTAACTTAAGCCTAAAAAATTGTGGCATAACTATCTTTTTGAAACCTCACTTTTACTCATTCATCTTTTGGGTAGTCTGTTGCTGGTTTTGCTGACTTGTACAAATGAGGATTGCCTTGCTGATTTTGCCCTCCCCGAGTGCTTGTTGGGTGCTGAAACGCAGTTCTATAAATATCAAAGAAGCACTGTTTGAGTGCTGGTTTAAGCATGGTGAATACTGTTGATATGGTGAATACTGTGCAGTGATTTCCTCTTTTTACAAAACAGGCCTAATTATTTTCCTCATCTTTGAGAATGATTTTAGAACTGTTGTTTGTCCAGCCCACTTGACATAAATTGTCTTAAGTGTTTCATCTTTATTCTAGCTGGTAATTTTGTGTTTTAAATGCTGTTTTCCCCCCCCCCAGAATTTGAACTGATGCATGTGGATGAATTTATCGATGAACTACTCCACGAGGAACGTGTATGCGATATCATTCTGCCTCGATTACAGGTTTGGAGAAGTAGATGGTTATTGAATTCTTAACTGCATCAGATTCAGTAGTTTTATCAGCTACCAGTTTGTTGCATAAAGCTACAGTATAGGCCCTTCTGGCACGTGAGATGCCTCCTTAAGTTGTTTGTTCTTATTTGGATTATGTAAGATAAAGTTATAATTTCTCCTAGAAACGATATGTTCTGGAAGAAGCTGAGCAGCTTGAGCCTCGTGTTAGTGCTTTGGAAGAAGACATGGATGATGTAGAATCTAGTGAGGAGGAGGAGGAGGAAGATGAAAAGGTTGGTGAACTGTTTTGCAAAGGGGTAGTTAAAGCTGGTGCTGAACCACCACAGAACACTTCATGGCCTATGAGAAATATTTGAGGGGAGGCACCAGGACGCTGCTTGCAACTCTTATCTCCCCCCTTAACATATTTTCCCATAAGCTGCTTGTGAGAACTTGTTACACCCTGAAGCAGTTCTCAGCTGCTCCATTTGTCAAGCTTTTCTGTCTCCTGAAATTCACAAAACTGTATCTGCTCTGTGTTTAACGTATTTCAGATAAATAGTTTTACATACATATGTAATGGAGAGAACTAATGGTGATGATGAAGTTTATTATGACCGTTGTCAATTCTACTGTAGTTTTTAAGAATCAACAGTATCGGATGCAGCCACATTAATTTCCAATTGGCAAGCTTAGGCACTCATTTCTGAATATGAAGTACTTGAGGATGGGGAACCTTGATTGCATGACTTCTGTAATTTATATTAATTGTTCAGAAATCCTTACTGATAGATAAAAACCTTGATGAAACAAGACTTACAGAACCTTGCCCCCCGCCATTGTTTCCAGCTGGAGCGAGCACCCTCTCCTGACCACCGCAGAAGAGGCTACAGAGACCTGGATAAACCTCGCAGATCCCCAGCTGTGCGGTACAGGCGGAGCCGAAGCAGGTCTCCCAGAAGGTGATGCATGGTTCTTGAGCAATATTTTTATGTATCGTACCGCAGACGGCTGGAGCAAGGCATAGAAGTGAAGATGACAATTCAGCCAGAATCTCTTACACCTCTCAGTTATTCAGTAATGCTTGAACTTCCTGGCCAACTTCAGCTAAATTTGACAATACAGTGAAGATATTAAGGAGAACCAAGTCCTTTGTTCCCATGTAAGCCAGACGCTGCAGAGAAACCCTGTTAATTGTTCTTACTGATAATAAGCCAGTAAAAACTCAATCACTGAACTCATTTGCTCGCTGTATGGGCCAGTCCAGAAGCATGTACTGCCTCTTGGGCAGGAGGCCAAACACACTAACTCGGGACCCAAGAAAGTGCAAAAAAAAATGGGGAATATTGGAAATGAAACAGCTGGTTCTGCTGATGATTTTTAACAACTTTTTCTTTTTTCCTCCAATTACAGGCGAAGCCGCTCTCCAAAGAGAAGAAGGTAGTCTTTTATTCTATTATTTAATCTTAAAATGTGTGCGTGTTTAGTACATCTGTCTTAAAAGCTTCCTTTCTCTCAGTCCATCACCACGTCGGGAGAGGCATCGCAGCAAAAGCCCAAGAAGACACCGGAGCAGATCCAGGGAGAGGCGCCACAGATCAAGATCTAAATCTCCAGGTATTTTTGACATTTACAGTTTAACTCTGGCAAGTCTTTATCCACTGCCAGAAAAATGTGTCACAGTATCAAGAAGGGAGCATAGGTGCTTAATCTGGCTTATAAAACTGCTAGTTGTATGAAAGCACAGCTGGAGAACTCCTTTAATACATACAAAATTACCTTGAGTATGTTTTTCACGTATTTGCCAGGAAGTTGAGTGCCTAATTAAGGCCTGGTTGTTCTGCCATTATCTAGGAGGCTTGGTCACTAGAAGCAGATTGCATTAGCAAAACAAAAAAGAATTCCAGGGTCTGTGGAAATAACTGTTCCCTTTTTATCTCATAGGGCATCATCGTAGTCACAGACACAGAAGTCATTCCAAATCACCTGAAAGGTAAAGGCTTGGCTTGTTTTTCAAGGGTGTCTGTACTGCTGTAGGAGTTCTTGTCATTTAACCTTGGGGTTTGAAGGTCTTCACAGAATGTTGGAGAGGAAATATTTCATACAGTGGCTCCCTCAGTGTTGTAGTCAAGTCAAACTACTGATACTTGACCATAGAAAGCACCACTTACTGCTATGAATCACCTTATTCTTTTAAAACAATTACTAGTACTGTGTCATATGGCTTTTTCTGTTTCAGATCTAAGAAAAGTCACAAGAAGAGTCGGCGAGGGAATGAATAACAAAGTAAATCCAGCATGCAGTTTAAGGACCTTGAACTGCAGTCTAATACTGTCCTGTTTGCTTTAAGGGACAGCTGAATATGTACTGGCTGCTTTAGCAGTCCATTTCTTTAATCCTTCTCTTGTACAAGTCTGGGTTGGTTTTTTTTTTTTAATTAAAAGAAAACTAAGGATACTTTTTATGTAGTTGGTTACTCATCCTTGTGATAGAATTTGAAGATTGTTTTTAAATTGTTTTTCTCAAGGCCTGTAAAAACCAGTGAAGAGCAATAAAAAAAAAAAAAAGGGGGTTTTGTCTTTAAAGGCTCCTTGCTGTTTCTTTCATAATACTTTTTTAGATGTTCCCGTTGAAACTGGCTTAGTTCTCAGATCAGGGCGTTGTTTTGACAAGCAGCCATTGCATTCAGTTGCCAGAGTGAGAGTATGTTTGAGGTACAAAGACTGAAGAGCTACCAGCCTGAACTACCTCAAACCTCCAGTACAGGAAAAGAAGACTGTCATCATCCAGTGTTTAACTTAAAACAGCTCTCCCAACACACAGCTGTTACTGGTTCCTCTAAGAACCACCCTTAAGTCTAATTATATGTTTCTTCTGATGCTACTCTCAGTTCAGAAGCTTCAAGCAGTACAAAGCACCACAACTCTTTTCAGGCAAGAGGTCAGTATATTTAAAGACAGCAAACCACTACTTGGAGCATACTTTGTGACCTACCTGTGACTGGGGACAGAATATGACACTGCTCTGCTCAGCTCTACCTTCTCTGCATGAAGTTAGCATTCATGGCTTTCAAATTAAGAATAATTAAGCTCTTACTCAAGTTACAGTTCTCATCTTAGTACATTTAATTACCTATCCCAGGAAAGCGGTTGTGTTAAGCCCCTTGTGCACCATCCCTTTATTCACAGACTTGCTTCAGGAGCAGGGACTGATCGGTTTATCTCCTGAATGCTGCATTGATGGCTTGAGCGTTTATGGTTTGCCCAATGTGTGTTGACAACACTAATAGTAGTATGCTACATGAGTTTATGGAAAGTCCTGCCTAAAATGGCTTCAGAGTAGAGCCAGATTTTCTAGACTATTTTCACATTATTTTTAAAAGTTTGTGAACAGAAAAGCAGATGTACTGTTCCCTCAAGTGTTTGATAAGAAAGACACATTGGCTCTGGCCAGCATATGCTATGATACCAGCATGGGGAAAAACAGGTGTATTGATTGTATGCCTCGTTAAAGCTGCTCATCTTTCACCTCTAAGATAAATAAATTAAAGCCTTTTTTATTCTGGTTTCCTAATTACAGTGAAATGCAAGCATGCATACAAATAGGGAAGAGGAAAAAGTCTTATGTCCTTTTTTTGCAGTTTTATTTTTCTTTTAAAAAGTTTTTTGGCACTACATAGTTCTGTAAAGAATAGAAGTGACAATTTCTTAAACACATGAAATCCCCTTCTAATTTTATTTTTTTTTAGAACAATATATATAAAGTCTGAAGCAACCAAAGTATGAATACAGCTAATAGAAAATAAAGAACTTAATTTTAAAAATTCTCTCTCTTTACAGTTTATCAAGATAAAACAAAACACAATTCCCCTTAAAAATAGGGTAATAAAATAGATGAAATTTGTATCACTCAGTTTTGTGATACTAGTAAAAACTATAGTTCATATCTATGTACAAATGATACAGTTTAAAAACAGTCTTAAATAATCTTGTATCTAAACATGTTGCATTAAGATTTTAAATCAGAACCTGAATTTTATTCCTCCCCTCCCCCACCCACGCACAATCCCGTTAAATTTCACTTTTTCTGTTGAATGTAATTCAGATTCAAGTGTGGGTGTCCTTGAGACAGAAGCGAGAACCGCTGGTTACTCTGCATCAGTGGACCAGCTAAAAGAAAATGGATTACAATTACTTCAGCAAATTAAATATATTTAACTGTGCTTGGCTAATTCAATGTACTAATCTTACTTGGAAATAAAGCCATTTACTAGACTGACACAAACACTATCTGTACGACTAACCCATTCAATGGGGCAACGCAGCATTTCTTTAACCCTATCTCCAAAATTCCCTCAGAATCATCAATGCATCATTTTGTTGCATTACTTCAGATATTTAACAAAAATCATTTCAAGGTTTTTAAAGATGGGCTACAGCCAATACATTAGATTTTGATAAAAGGGTTTGGGGCCAGTATCTCTCATTTTATACTAGGTGACCCAGCAACTTGGTATTGCAAAGCCTCCAAGTAAAATTGGGGCATAGTTTTTCTCTTAGTGGAGCCTTCCCCAATCCTGCCAGATGCTGAACACCTTTACCATCCACTAGCAGCAGGAAGAGGTGAGATACAGTCAGTCCAAAGTACCCTGAATAACTGATCCTGATCTAAATTTGAAATTTGCACTGCTTTGACTGCTGATGAGCTCGACTAGATAACCTCCAGAGGCCCCTTCCAACCTGAATTATTCTACGGTCTTGCAAGTTTTTATCCACTTAAGTCATTCCACAAGGCAAGGTACAAAAGCCAAATAAAATTAATTAGGACAAAAATTTCTTCGTATTCTTAACATGCTCATGGGCAAATCATCTTAGCCTCTATGGCAGCAGAGGTGGCTCTACAGTGAGACAGCAGCAGCAGGAAGAGGCTAGAAGCACAACAGACTGCAAATTGGCTCTGATTTCAGAATTTGATTTAACCCCTTCCCGCCCACAAAGATTTCCATCCATCCATACAGGAAGCCGAAGCGTTGATTTGACTCTTGGATTCATTATGGTTCCAGGGAGCCTAGCAAGTGAAACATGATTCCATGGGCTTTTAAAGCCTTTGAGACAGTAAAGAGACATGTTGCATGAGCTGTTGATGCATACACTAGTTCTAGTACCTTGAGGGTAGAAAGGTTTGTTCGGTGGGTAGCTGGCATTTCCCTGCTGCATGTAGTTCTGAGGCATATTGTAAGGCCACGCTCCTCGGAGGAGAGGAAAATGGGTAGGGGTCCCATGGTCCCAAGGGACAGAAGGAGGGTTCATTTTACCAAACTGTCCTTGGAAACCCTGATCTATTTTTCAATTGAAAGGGAAAAGCACATTGCAAGTTGAAATAATTAAACAGTAAGTCATAAATACAATTTACATCTTAAATAACAGTTTGCAGGGGACTTAATGCAATTAGTCTGATGTGCTACTCTTTTTTTTTTTTTATATACATCGATAAAAATTACCACCTAAATTACTTCATTATTCACTATAATAGAATTTACTGGGGGGGGGAAGACAGAGGATGAATCAGTATTAAAATCAAGACCTACAATTTCACTATTCCTAACTCATTCTCATGATGAAAAATACAAGGTCTGAACAATGTTACTAATATCTGATCCCACACAGATATTCACTATCACTGACATGGCTGTGACATGAAAGCTATTATCCTACAGCAAGAAATAATTCTCAGAAGATGTACACAGGAACTCCACTAATAACTGTATGCTTAAGAAACTTGACACGTAGATCATCGAACCAACTTTAAACTGCTTTTTAGAGAGAAAAAAACTTTTGAAATAAGTACACAAATTGTAAGCTATTCAATTTACAAATCCAGTATTACCGCAGCAGTAAGGGTGAGAAATCAAGCATCCAAGGAGGCAGGACACACAACAGTTGATGCCAAATGCTGTATCACTAATTCTGCTCTGTTTGTAGCTCCCAATTTTATAAGACACAGCAATGCCTGCTTATTTAAAAACTTGAATAATGTACATTCAAAAATTAAAGCAGTAAATTTAAGTAACTATCCTTCTCAATATATCAGTTCCCCTTCAAGATCATCTTTGAGCCTTTGCAAGTTTCTTGCAAAAGAAACTTGCAGGCAGCCTTTCACTAAATAAAAGTAAGCTACGAGTTTAAAAAGAGCAGTAACTTTTATACAATAAATCACGAAGCACGGCTCTGGAAGCAGTTGTCCACTTGAAACTTCTAAAGATTCTGCTTCTCATAAATTGTCTACTGAAAAGAAAGTTGTTCCTTCCAACTCAAGGCCATGTGAGCCAAGACAAAGTTTTCATGAACTTACAGTTCCCAAATTGTCCCGAGCAAGAAAGAAAGCAGGCTTCAAACAGAGAGCACACAGATCATCTCTACTGTGCGCCCAGCCAGTGACCCCATCTTAATGGCATCTAAGCCAAAAAGGAAATAAAACTGATAAAAATACAAAGAGGAAAAATATCACGACTGGGAACTTTCCTGGAAATACCAGGAAAAGAAGTGTGATGAGATTGGAAACAGGTGGAAGCTGAGGGAAAGGAAAAAAAAAATACTGTGACTGACAGCAAAAGAAAACTGGGAAACCTGCACAGGCATGAGAGTGGAAGCAAACAGAGCAAAAGGAAAAAGACTGAAGACGGGGACTGAATGACTACATGATGAGAAACGGGACTCGTTATGGGAGAATGGAGCAGAAACTAGGATTTGGGGAGCCTGTCTGAAAGAAGGCAACTACCTGGGCAAGAAGACTGGAAGGAGCGGCTTGAGAAAAGGTCAGAGCTGGGGTGGACATGGAGGAGGGGACAGAGGAGCCTGGACAGAGAATTAAGATCAGAAATGGAGGGAAAGACAAAGCACACTGAAGGCACAGAAAGCACACTGGTAGCAGTTTCTGTATCCTCTAAAATACATTCCCCACAAAGCTCTGAACAGAAAAACATGCATCTCCAGCATCTCAACAAGTATCTGAAACTCACTGGTGAATTATATCTCATCCAACACTGCTGGCTCAGCTGAAAATCTACTGTTGCTGTCAATCACCTGAATAGTGCAGAGAAAGGCTGCGCAGGAGATGTAAGATTTCCATCTCGTGATGAACAACTGAAGCAGTATATTGCATGATGGATGTATTTTTTTAAACACAGGAGGAGTTACACACCCAGAATAAATCAAAAGACCGTTATCACGTTTTAAAAGATCACAGTTAAAATTTAGGGACTGCCATGTTTTATGTTGCACAGAAAACTGTGAGCTTCAGTTACTCTAGACTGTTTTTCTCAGCCTCAAACACACAAACGTTCTTGGCTTTGGTGTGAGGCAAAAGACTGTTGCTCACTTGTCATACGGAAAGTCTGTATGAAGTACAGGAAATGACATCAAGATGAAGGAAATGAAACATGGCAGGATAAACTAGAAGAAAAAAGAATGCACAAGATCATGTTATACTGCACTAAACGCAGAGAGGCAATATTCAGCTTGCACAACCATAATTCTACCAGTCTCTAAGTTCGTAGTTGCAGTCTCAGCATTCATCTAATAAACCA